AAAAACCAGAGTTTTGTTTTACTAAGAGCCAAACTTTCAATCCTGTTTTCTCTGTTTTCAAGTTCACATCCCAAGCTTCAGTGTAATCTTTCTCCTTGCCATAGGGACACTGTAAAGAGAGAGATTTTACATCATTTACTACTGATGTGTGCTTGATCTTGTAGAGATCAATTGTGTGGGAGTGAGATCTTGTGGTGATCAACTGTGTAGTTGTGAGATCTTGTGGAGATCGTTGTATAGAAGAAGTTCCGGCTTCCAAAACGGATTGTGTAGTGGATTCTCCTTGAGAGTGGGGAGCGGGGACGTAGGTCAGTGGGCCGAACCTCGTTAACACATCGCGTGTCACTTGGATAACGATTTCTAACTCTATCTCATTTACTTTGGTTGTTTATTTTGTAGTGTATTACTTGTCTCATTTTTTATTGCATAATCCCCCCCCCCCCCCTCTCTCTCTCTAGGGTCCAACAATTGGTATCAGAGATTGGTCTCTATATTAGTTTTTTGTCTAACCACCTTAGAGAAAAGATCTTATTGAGGCTTCAATGAATGTGCATATGTTAGAGGGACAATCCACCACTAGACCCTCACTTTTCACCGGTAGCAATTTTACCTATTGGAAGGCTAGAATGAGGATTTACCTTCGTTGCATTGATCTTGATATTTTAGAACTCGTAGAGAAGAAATATGTAGAAAAGTTCAAGATTAGTAACATGACCAATGAAGAAAGGCACCAAGCTAATCTCAATGCAAAGGCTATGAATACCTTAATTTGCGGTCTTTCCCCCAATGAGTATAATAGGGTTTCTACATGTGCAACCGTATATGAAATTTGGGTAAAATTATGTATTACACATGAAGGAACCTCCAAGTTAATGAATCTAAGATTAGTGGGCTTATGCATGACTATGAGTTGTTTAAAATGCTTCCTAATGAATCCATTGATGCTATGTTTTCTCGCTTCACTAATATAACCAATGAATTGCATGGTCTTGACAAGCAATTGACTATCCAAGAGATAAACTATAAGATCTTTCGTTCATTGACTCCGGCGTGGGAGCCCAAAGTTACGGCCAAAGAGGAAGCTCATATGATCTTACTACTCTTGCTCTCGATGGCCTCATTGGCAAGCTTAAGGTTCATGAGAAGAAGCTTAAGGGAAAGGAGAAGGAGGAAGGGCCTCATTGGCAAGCTTAAGGTTCATGAGAAGAAGCTTAAGGGAAAGGAGAAGGAGGAAGTGCCCCCATGGGAAATTGAGGTGCCATCACCAAAAATGAAGACCATAGCTCTCAAGGGAGCTAGTGATAACTCCTCATCATCATTGGATAGTGAAGTTGATTTTTCTAGAGAAGTGGCTCACCTCTCTAGAAGAATATCAAGACTTATTAAAATGAATAAGAAGTTTAATCCTCGATATAACAATAAATTTTCTTTATGTGTAGGAAAATGCTTTGAAAGCAACGAACTGGGTCATATTGCCAAAGATTGCCCTAAGCTCAAGAAAAAATATTTGAAATACAAGAAGAAGAAAGCCATGTATGTCGGATGGGAGGAATCCGAACCAAGCGATTCGGATAGTAATGAAGAAGGAGCAAAGATTGCTCTTCATGATCCTAACATTTGTTTTATAGCTTATGAAAAGGAGGCAATTTCCGATACCAAAAGTGAATCCTTTTACATGCAATGTGATCTAGCAACCGCATTAGAAGAGTTAAACATTAAGTTTAAAAGGATGTCAAAAGAATATTCTTCCTTTAAAAAATTGCATACTTCTTGTGATTCCAAACTTGAACAACTATAATCATCTCTTGCTTTAAAAGATGAATTGCTAGGGGATCTTAATTTTGAAAACAAACAATTAAGATCTAAGATTAAAAGACTTGAAATTAAAAGTGGTAGAATTAGACCTACTCATGTATATGCTAGTCATCATCACCATGGGAGAAATAGATTTTATAGATCTCATGCTTCAACCCATAAGAGATATTTTGTGTACACATATTGTATGAAACATGGTCATATCTCCACTCATTATAGGATTAAAAATAATCATGATTTTTATGGAATGACATGGGTACCCAAACATACCAAGCTTACCAATCACCAATGACCCCAGATTTGGGTACCTAAAGTTACTACACATTCATCTCTTGTAGAAAACATCACAAACATGACGTAGACAGATGTGGTACCACTACAACAGACATGTCTTTTAGCGACCAACTTTTTTGTGAGAAATTAATTTTCCTCAACAAATATCACTTTCGACGAGGAAAATATTGTTTCCTCGGTAAATATCAGTAGGTCTTCTACGAGGAATATATTTTCCTCACAGTAGACCACCTTCTACGATGAAAATTTTAGTTCCTCACTAAAGATGATCATGATTTGGTCTCCTAATTAATTATTTTATTGGCAAGGAAATATAAGATTTTGGTGATAAACTTTTTCATCGCAAAATGCACATTTAACGAGGAAATAATCATTTCATCGTTGTTCTTTTGGCGGGAAATAGAGGAAAATCCGCCAAATATAACAGCGACAAAGTATGATTTCCTCGCTGAAGATCCATAATCTACGAGGAACCGTTTCCTCATCAAAAGAATCAATTAGCGAGGAAATAATAGTTTCCTCATTATTAGTTTGGCGGGGGAAAAAACCCGCCAATTTCAATGGTGACAAATTTAAGGCTTCCTCGTTAAAAGTTTTTGTTTTTACTAGGAACCGTTTCCTCGTTAAAAAGAACATATTAGTGAGGAAATTATAGTTTCCTCACAATTTGCAACACCCGCCAAATTCATTGATGGTAAATTAAAGGTTTTCTCGCTAAAATTTTTCTTTTACGAGGAACTGTTTCCTGGTTAAAAAACCTATTAGCGAGGAAATAATAGTTTCATCATTATTAGTTTGGCGGAAAATGTGCAAAACCCGTCAATTTCAATAGCAACAAATTTAAGGCTTTTTCGCTAAAAGTTTTTTTTACGAGGAACCGTTTTGCCGTCAAAAAGAACTTATTAGCGAGGAAATTATAGTTTCCTCATTATTAATTTGGCGGAAAAATGTACAACACCCGCCAAATTCATTGACGACAAATTAAAGGTTTCCTCACTAATCTTTTTTTATTTTACGAGGAACCATTTCCTCGTTAAAAGAATCAATTAGTGAGGAAATAATAGTTTTATCATTATTAGTTTGGCGGGAAAATGTGCAAAACCCGCCAAATTCAATGATGACAAATTTAAGACTTCCTCGCTAAAAGATTTTGTTTTGTGAGAAATCATTTCCTTGTTAAAAAACCAATCAGCGAGAAAATAATAATATCCTCATTATTCGTTGGCGAAGATTTTGGTGGGAATTTGGGTAAAAAGTAGGCGGGTACTCAAAGAAAAGAGCGGGTCTCTAATATCAGTGGCCTAACAAATGTCCATATACAAGTCAACAATCGTGGGCCAATTTAGATTTTTTTGAATAAATGTCCAGCACGAGGTAAAGCTCCAGTATGGATAGAAATAAGGATTTGGTTTGTCAAGTTGATGGTTCATTTTTGTAGGTTTTTGCACAATTCACATGAAGATTAACAACCAATTAATATTTATTCAGGTTCAAAGGGATCCCAATGTAAAGGATTGCTCACAAATCTGATAAGATTTAAACAATTTATGATTTTTGAATATATATTTATTTCATACTTCTGAAATTAGATTATGTTAATAGATAATATTGACTTCTGAAAATATTTCTCTCAATCTCAACACGGCGCTGCAGTGCTGCACTTTGAAACTTAGAGGTTCTCATTTCACTACTACAAAAGGCCTTATTAGCAATAGTTAATAAGTAAACTGTTGCTAATGGGACCTATAAAAAATGGGATTCGGATCCTCTCCACTACAAAAAAGTAATGAAAAGATCACTATTTTTAATCTCAATTATTGATTACTTAGTAGGCGGTTTTGATACAATCTAAATCTAATACTCACCATACCCACGTGTATTGCACTCGTTCCTAATTTGCACTCAAATAAAAAAATCACAACCATCAACTAGATAATTAATGGTTGTGATTATGTAGTGGTCTTTCCACTATTTTTTTTCTAGTGGAGAGGACCTGAATCTTAAAAAACGGGACCACTGACAACTCACTTCATATTTCTATTTGAAACGGTTTCCTTTTTTCTTTTTTATAATTAATTAACCAAAATCTGAATTCTTAGGGAGGGGGGAAACAAAAACTTTGGCGGCAACATGGGGGAAAAAGCCTAACTATTACCCCATATCTTGTTATTTTTCACTCTTGCTAGGATAACTTGTTAATAAGTTTTAATTGGTATTTAATCGGATTAGATTAGCATAAGACCCTAATCACCCCCCTCTAGGGTCTTACACCTCTTCCTTTATTCGGCGCCCCCGCCTCCCTCCGCCCCACCGCCCTCTCTCCCCTCTCCATGTTCCTCTATTCGGCTTCCCCGCCCGCCTCTCCGTCGCCCTCCTTTCTCTCGCTGCACGATAGGTTAAGATGATGCTCTGATATTCGTAAGTGCACTCCAATCCTTGTTCTTGCAGATATAATGTTACTGTAATTAGTTTACTATCGGTTTATTTCCTCGATATTTATTTTTCATCAATGGCATCCTGGTGTTTTACTTGATGACCTAGCGATAGCAGGGATGAGGGTACTAGCATCACAAGGTTAGTTGATTGCCTTTCCTATAGGGCACCTGACTCTGTAAGTTTCTCTTTGGTAAACCCCTGGGTTTAGTATTTTGATGGTGTATGATCTTGCACATGCTTCTCTAGCATTGAAGCAATCTTTTCTACCCTCTGGACAAAGTATTATCCTTCTAGTACTATAGCACTTAACAAAGATTATCCAAAACCTCTGTATGTAAATTTTCCAAGCAATTTTTTTTGCTGCAGGGTGCATCGTGCAGGTCCACACAAGCAGATTTACTATGAGCCTAGGGAAGTAAAAGCTGCAATAGTTACTTGTGGAGGCCTATGTCCTAGTCTAAATGATGTTATTAGACAGGTATAATTTTCTCTCATCTTCACTAGTAAAATCACCAGGCACCCGTTTTTTTGCCAACTCATCAAGGTCGGATATTTTCTCTTAACTCATGTCCTAGAATCAAATTCTATATGTATCATGGACAGTTAATATTTATAGAAACGCAAATGATCATTTTTTGCCACACTATAAGCATTATTGAAAGTAGAGTTTAGTTTGATACCTGGCATTTAATGTGGGAATATGAAACCTTTTCGACATTGCATCAACGTCAAGTACATAAATTATCTTGACAGAAGCTTTAAGTGTCTCTTCATGCCTGAGTTGCATCATTCACATCGGTGATGCACTGTGGGCATTAGTGATGAATTATATTGATCTAGAATGTCATCCACATGGTGCAGCATCACTAATTGGTATGTAAGCTCAATTGGCCAACTCTTCTAATGTCTAGAAATGAATTTGTAGCGCAAGAACTTAATCGCACTGGATGATATCTTCATCTGACCTGCAAACCTAGAATTCACTGTCTCGGCAAGTCTTAAATAATGTGAATCCATCACAACTATCATTCTGTCACATTTGCGAATATAAAAAAGACATTCTACTAAGGCCAGTTAAAAGTGTGATGCTTTGTCTCTTTACCTGTCAAACACAATGATTAGTTGCGAGAGGCCACTTCTACAAATTAGTATGGATTTTAACTGATGACATGGTAATGTAAAGCCCAATCCCGATATGCAGTTTTAAACTTGCTATGTTATTATGCCACAATTCTAGCTACATGAACTCAATGAGGCTGCACTTTGGAGGTGAATATTAATGATTTAAATCATTGTCCAAGATCCTAATTCTCTTGGAGATTGTTTGGTAGCATAAAAGTACGACAAGGTTATTTTCATGACACTCGACAGTGGGCATGTGATTCGCAAAGATTGCCCCCAAAAGATCTCACTAGTGAAGCTCAATGTTGCAATGTTGGGTGGGTCTGGAAATGCATTCCTGGTGCAGGTTGATTTTTGGTCAATTTTTCGTAGCACTGATCTTATTCCAATTCAATTATTTCTAGCATATTGCTAGTCTAAGAATGACTAAAGCACAGCATTTCACTAAAACGAGATTCCTTGGTTTAAATATAGACCGACATGTTGGCCAATGTGCTGGTTGACAACATTTGCTACAAAACAATATGATTTATCGTTTCATTACTTTTTCAGCACTATATCGTGTTTTTCCTGATATATCTCTGATACATTGAGCAACCATTTTGGCCTAAAAAATTGACTGACTTTGCACTCACTATGGGTTTTATTTGTCTTAAAGATCGAGTTTGATTTTTTAACTCAATTAAACTTTGAACCCAAACCTGTATCCGCTAATGCCTAATAGAAACACTCATAAGAACAATTAGGCTCAATTAAGCTCTAATTCTCCTAATAGAAACACTCATAAGAACAATTGGGCTCAATTAAGCTCTAATTCTTTGCAAGAGTGTTGCAGCTCTTGCAGTTCCCGACCATCTGCCTTGAGGTTAACTGTGTGCTGTGTTGCTGTCCTAACCATGTCATCACCATCGATTGTTGCCTACCATAAGCCCCTCCTCTTCTCTACTGCTTGATACCAATAAGCTACTCTTTGCTCCAAAATGTATCACTGTTTTTAACTCTTCCTATTTTCATCATGGATATTATGTAAAACCTTCGGCTTATGAGATTTGAGAAGACATAGGATTTATATATGAGATAGGTTTAGTCATAGCATTATACTCTTAGAAATATTAGTAACTTCTTTAATAATTTCAAGGTTTAAGCATAAACAAGACGTGAGCACATTTCAATTATAGTTCCATTCTTTGACACAAAGTATTATACACACATGCACACTATCCGATTTGACATCCTGATATTTACTAAAGAACCCTGATATTTCACTAATATATGCTACCAGATACAGAACTTTTTTTTCTCTTACTTGACCTGGCACTCAATATTTACTACCCTAATGAGATATGCAGTTTGGGAGCCATACACAGATATGTATGTATATATGTATGTATGTATGTACATGTTGCACATATATTTACTTTTTCTCTAGTGTCAAGACCTTAGCTGATATGTCTAAACAATAGCTACATTGGCTTATCAAAGCAAATCAACTGTGTAATGATTTTTTTTGTTGTGTAATGTCTTTTCTTCATTCAGGACGAAGGGCAAACTGTACTCATATCATTACGTATCCTATCTATACTAACATATTCTATAGTAACATTTTCTTATTTTTATAGATAGTATTTACTCTTGAAAAGTATGGGGTTAAAAATATAGTCGGAATACCATTTGGCTATCGCGGATTCTTTGATGAAAGATTGTCAGAGATGCCTGTAAGAACACTTTCCTCTAGAGTCTTTTGGATGAAAGATTAAGTATGTCCATTTATTTTAATTGTCAGTTTGCTATTTTTTCGTCTGTAGCTTTCCCGTCGAGTGGTGCAGAACTTAAATCTAAATGGCGGAAGTTTTTCGGGTGTTTCGAGTGGAGATGGTAAGGTTGATGAGATTGTGGATAGCATTCAGGTATTTTGGGTGCAAAGGAAAAATGGGTAAGTAACGTGTCAATGATGCATGCTTTTATAATATTTTAAGAATATAGGTGAAACTGATATTACTGTTCTAAAGAGGATTATATTGATTAGGTTGTAATTGAGAAGTTGCATATGATTGAACTGGATATATATTTTTGCTTATAAGATCAAATGATAAAGATGCGAGCAGATACCACTCAACTTGGTGGAACTCGAACAACGACAGATGAAGAAGATCAAATGATAAAGATGCGAGCAGATACCACTCAACTTGGTGGAACTCGAACAACGACAGATGAAGAAATTTGTGCAAAAGTTCTCAAAGTCAAATCATGCTACATTAAGGGTTGTGGTTTTGGCCCTAGACCACCACCATTAAGGCTCTCTCGTTCTTCAATGAGTGAAATGTCTGAAAAGTATAAAGAGTTATAAAAACAGTTTCAAGAGACCCAACAACTTGTAGGAACTCAACAACAAAAGATCGATGCACAAAATGAGGTAATCCAAAGATTGGAGGAGCAAGCTAAAAAGTTTGAGGAGTTTATGGCTAATATCAGCTTATATTCTTAGTGAATTTAAACTTGGAGAAATATTTTTTTGATCGTGTTGCATTTGTTATTGCTTTAGACTAGCATTGTTACTTATGGTAGAAACTTGTTTGGTTTATTTATTTTAATTGTTTTGATGTACTGTGGTGACAATTGATGACAATTATTTATATTTTGAGTGTTTTTCTTGTAATAGCATTATTATTGATGAAATAAAAATTGATGACAATTATTTATATTTTGAGTGTTTTTCTTGTAATAGCATTATTATTGATGAAATAAAATTTTCTCATTATAAGTATACTGCTTACGTCGTCAAAAGAATATTTCATCGTTATAGAGTATTCTGCTTACGTTGATAAAAACATATTTCCTCACTATAGTGATACAACCTATAACGGCAAAAGTAATTTTTCTCGCTATAGACCATATAATCTATATTGACAAATATAAATTTCCTCATAATTGAATTTCTTTGGCGAGGAATATGGGGCACAACCTACAACGATAAATTTAAATTTCCTCGTCTTTGAGTCCCTTTACTGAGGAATTGTTTCCACCTGAAAAAGATACATATAATGAAGAAAATCAATTTTCTCATTAAAGATTTATCTTTGGTAAGGAACAGTTTCCTCGCTAAAAGATACTTACAACGATAAAAATAGTTTTTTTAGAACTTTTATTATATATAAATTAAATATTATTCACGTATCATTGGCGAGGAAACTGTAGTTTAGCGATGAAAATGTATGAGATTAGGTGAGGAAAAATATCGAGGCTAAAGAGTAACAACGAGAAAAGAATATATTCATCGCAAAAAGGATTTCGTGAGAAATTATAATATTCCTCGCAGAAACTTTTCTTGACCACCCTACCGCGAGGAAATGGTGACCAAAGTTTTTTCCTCGCCAACACACTACGGCGAGGAAATCTCGACTTTCAACGACAAACTTGTTCCTCGCGGATTAGCTTTTCTGTTGTAGTGTACCTTGATAGTGGTTGCTCACATCATATAACGGGCAACAAAGAGCTATTTGCAACCCTATCAAGGATTGAAGGAGGTAGCGTCTCCTTCAGTGGCGGTGAGAAAGATAAAATCATAGATATTGGATGCATTGGTAAGACACCTTCTCCCGTAATAGAAGATGTTTATTTGGTTAGTGGCTTGAATCATAATCTTCTTAGCATTAGCAAATTGAGTGACAAAGGTTTTGATATTTATTTTAAGCCGGATAAGTGCATTGTTAGCTCAAATGGAAAAACTATTTTTGTTGCTAATAGAAAATCTAATATATATATTTTTGAGATGAATGAGCTAGTAGATCAAGATGTTAAATGCCTTGCGGTGGTTGATGAAAACCCTTGGATTTGACATAAGAGGCTTGGACACGTCAACATGGAGTTGATAGCCAAATTATCCAAGAGGAATCTTGTAAAAGGGTTACCAAACTTGCATTTCATCAAAGATACCATTTGCGAAGATTGTGCTAAAAGTAAACAAACTAAGTCTACCTTCAAATCCATCAATGAGATATCAACTTCTAAACCCTTGCAATTACTTTATTTTGATTTATTTGGTCCTATGCGTGTTACCTCTCTAGGAGGCAAACACTATGTTATTATTATTATTAATGATTTCTCTCGTTTTACATGGACAATTTTTCTTGGTAGTAAAGATGAATGTTTTGAAGAATTTTCAAATTATGTCAAAAGAATCAAAAATGAAAAAGAGTTGAAAGTTGTTAAAATTAGAAGTGATCATGGTGGTGAATTTCAAAATAATTTTTTATAATTTTTGTGCACATCGTGGTATAACTCATATGTTTTCCGCTATAAGAACACCATAACAAAATGGTGTTGTTGAACGGAAAAATCGCACCATACAAGAGATGGCACGAACTATGTTAAATTCTTTTGATTTGCCTAAGTATTTTTGGGCGGAAGCCGTCAATACGGCTTGCCATGTTTTGAATCATGTTTTGATTAGACCAAAGCTTAAGAAAACTCCTTATGAACTATTTTATGGTAAAACTCCTTTTATTGGATATTTTCGTATCTTTGGTTGTGAATGCTTTATTTTAAATACAAAAGATCACCATGATAAATTTGATTCTAAAATTAATGTTGGCATTTTTCTAGGATATGCACCTCGAAGTAAGGCTTATAAGGTCTTCAACAAATAAACTCTTGTTGTTGAAGAATCTATAAACGTTACTTTTGATGAGACTAATATTGGTTTACAAGTTGGTTTGCCTAGGAAAGATGATGATGATGTTGAGGGAGGATTGGAATTTTTGAAACTCAATGAAACACCCTCAATAGATGCTCAGAAGGATGGGAAAAGCAATAACATTCAAGAACAAGAGCAAGAAGAACTCTCCAAAGCATGGAAATTTGCACCAAATCATCCAAAGGAGCAAATAATAGGGAATCCTTCACAAGGGGTTCTAACTCGCTCAAAGACTTTGAGTGAGTGTGGTAATATTACCTTCTTATCTCATATAGAACCTAAAAAGATTAATGATGCTTTAAAGGATGAGTTTTGGATTTTAGCTATGCATGACGAATTAAACAATTTTTAAAGAAATAATGTTTGGAAAGTAGTTCCTAGACCTAACAATGCTAGTGTAATTGGAACAAAATGGGTTTTTAGAAACAAACTTGATGAACATGGCATTATAACAAGAAATAAAGTTTATTTGGTTGCCTAAGGATACAATCAAGAGGAGGGCATAGACTATGATGAAATCCTTACACCGGTTGTAAGATTAGAATCTATTAGGATGTTTTTGGTATTTACAAGTTTTAAGAATTTCAAATTGTTTCAAATGGATGTTAAAAATACATTTTTAAATGGTTTTATAGAAGAGGAAGTATATGTTGAGCAACCCCCCGGTTTTATGGATCATTCATTTCCTAATCATGTTTATCGGGTTCAAAAAGCTTTATATGGGTTGAAACAAGCTCCTAGAGCTTGGTATGCTCGCCTCTCTAGTTTTTTTTCTTGAAAATAATTTTTCAAAAGGAAAAATTGATAATACTCTTTTTGTGAGAAAAAAAAAATGATTTCATTTTAGTTCAAATATATGTTGATGATATCATTTTTGGTGCTACTAATGAATCTCTATACAAGGATTTTTCTAAAGTTATGCAAGATTATTTTGAGATGAGCATGATGGGAGAGCTCACATTCTTTCTCGGGCTCCAAGTCAAGCAAACTAAGGATGGGATATTCATTTCTCAAAGCAAGTATGCTAGAGAATTGGTGAAGAAATTCAAATTGGAGAATTCTAAGCATGCACCAACTCCCATGAGTACAAGTGTCAAGCTTGATGCGGATGATAGTGGTGAGAATGTAGACCAAAAACTATACTGATGTATGATAGGTAGTCTTCTTTATCTCACCGCTAATAGACCCTATTATGTTTAGTGTGTGTGCATGTGCATGTTTTCAAGCTTTTCCTAAAACATCTCATTTAATTACGATTAAAAAAATTATTAAATATGTCAATGGAACAATTGATATTGGTTTATTTTATCCTAAAAGCACCTCTTTTGATCTTTATAGTTTTTGTGATGCCGACTTTGCCGGATGTAAGGTAGATCACAAGAGTAGAGTGGTACATGTTAATTTTTTTGGTAACTCTCTTGTCTCTTGGGCTTCTAAGAAATAAAATTGTGTTGCCTTATCCACTACGGAAGCGGAATACATTACCGTCGGCTTATGTTGTGCCTAAGTTTTGTGGATGAAACAAAGTTTAGTTGACTATGATTTGAATTTTGAAAATATAAAAATCTTTTGTGATAACACTAGTGCTATAAATATTTCCAAAAATTCTGTTTTGCACTCTAGAACCAAGCATATTGATATGCGCCATTATTTCTTACGCTATCATGTAGAGAGGCAAGATGTATCCCTTGTTTATATTGACACTAAATCTCAATTAGCGGACATCTTTACCAAACCTCTTAGTGAAGATGATTTTTGTCACATAAGAAATGGTTTGGGTTTATGCACTATGTAAAATCTTTTGTCCTCTTAGTGAAGATGATTTTTGTCACATAAGAAATGGTTTGGGTTTATGCACTATGTAAAATCTTTTGTTTTGTTTGTTTGTTGCACATCATATGCATAAGAAATGGTTTGGGTTTATGCACTATGTAAAATCTTTTGTTTTGTTTGTTTGTTGCACATCATATGTATTTTTTGTTTACCATTCTATTTACCCCATTTTGATGGTGACAAAGGGGAAGCGAAATCTCCTCATTTGTTACACATAGTTAGGGGGAGCTCATAGATAGGGAGAGCTACTATCTATAAGCTATATTTATTTTGCTTCAATATAATGGTTGGTTGTCATCATCAAAAAGGGGGAGATTTATATATATAT